AAAAAAAAAAAAAAACAATGGAATCTTGAAATTCGAAGGCAAATGGATATTACTAGAAGGACCCATTCTGAGCGAGGTAACCCAGTCACAAAAAGACAAACATGGTATGTACTCACTCATATATGGATTTTAGACATAGAGCAAAGGATCACCAGCCTACAATCCACACTTCCAGAGAAGCTAGGAAACAAGGAGGACTCTCAGAGAGACATGCATGTTCCCTTGGAGAAGGGGAAAGCGACAAGATCTCCTGAGTAAATTGGGTGCATGGGGGGAGGAGAGGGGGAGCTAGAAGAATGAGAAGGCAAGAAGAGGAGGGATGGGGAGGACATGAGGGAGAAGCTAGTTTGAGTTGGGGGAAGAATATAGGAGAGCAAGATAAGAGATACCATAATAGAGGGAGACATTATAGGTGTAAAGAGAAATCAGGCACTAGGGAAATGTCTGGAGATCTATAAAGATGACACCAACTAACAATCTAAGCAACCGAGAAGAGGCTACCTTAAATGCCCTTCTCTGATAATGAGACTTATATGCCATCCTATAGCCTTCATCCAGCAGCTGATGGAAGTAGAAGCAGACACCCACAGCTAAACACTGAACTGGACTGTAATCCAGTTGCAGAGCAGGAGAAGTGATGAGCAAAGGGGTCCAGACCAAACTGGTGAAACCCACAGAAACAGCTGACCTGAACAAGGGGGAGCTCTTGGTTCCCAGACTGATCACTGGGAAACCAGCATGGGACTTATCCAGACCCCATGAATGTGGGTGACAGTGAGGACACCTTGGAAATCTATGGGACCTCTTGTAGTGGACCAGTACTTATCCCTAGCATAGGAATGGACTTTGGGAGCCCATTCCACATAGAGAGGTACTCCCTGAGCCTAGACACATGGGGGAGGGCCTAGGCCCTATCCCAAAGGATATGACAGACTCTGAAGACCCCTTATGGTAGGCCCCACCCTCCCTGGGGAGCAGAAAGTATATGGGATAGGTAGGGTGTTGGTTGAGTGGGGCAGGCGAGGAGGGGAGGCAGAAGGAACTGGGATTGACATGTAAAACAATCTTGTTTCTAATTTTAAAAATGGAGAAGAAAAATATGGGAAAAAGAAAATATGTGTTTATGCAACTATTCAGCCATAAAAAGTATAAAACACTCTCATTTGCAACAACATGTGTGGACTTAGAGGACATTCAGTTAAATGGAAGAATTCAGAGACAGGAAGAAAAATGTCACATCACTCAAAAGTAGGATTTAAAATATTGAGCCCATATAAGTTGGCAGTGGAATAGTGGCTGCCAAAATCCATGGAGAGCAGGTTGAAGAAAATAAGGAGAGAGGTCGGCCTTGATGGAAGAAGTACTTTCTGCCTTTCAGGTACAACAGGGTGATTAGAGTTAGCATTAATATAGTATGTATCTCAAAACAATTAGGACAGTTTTAGTGTCATCACAATAAAGAAACAAGTGTAATGTTATGGTTATGCCCATTATTCAGAGTTGATTAATGTATAATATATTCATGAATCAAAATTTCATATGTGCCTCAAAATGATATACCACCATTATATACCAAAAAGAGTAAAATAAACATTGAGAGAAAAGACAAAAGATAAGTTCAGGTAGGGACTATCAAGATGCATACACACAGTGAATGGGGTTTAAAATCCACAAGTTCAATAAAGAAAATAGCATAAAAGCTCCTCGAAATATGTACATATATGTATGCATTATTATATATCATATATATGATCAATACTTTAATTCAGTTAACAGAAATAGAAAGCCAGTCAAATGCGAGAGGAAATGTGTGTGTTTAATAAAGAAGATTGTCTTACATTGCTTTGGGCGTCATTAGGCAAACCTCTCCTGTGCAATGACAGGTGTCAGTACTGTCATAAGTTAAGCCCATACCGATGCTCAGCAGCTGTGCGACAATGACACTATATGACTCTAATGATAAACCTTTTGGATACTAAACATGAACAGAAGGGAAAGGAGTTAGCAAAGCAATGTTGGCTGCAATGAAAATTGATTAACACATTCAAGACACCTCCATGGATGCAACTGTAGTAGTTATAATAATGTCTTAACAATGGGTTCATTAAACATGGGTGGATCAATAGAGTAAGTTTTACTTCAAAATGCTATTATTAAGTGACAGCAACACAAGTACCTTAGCAAAGTTGACACGAACACCACCTCATTTTTAAGGCTTCTTTGATTTACTTTTAATACAATGTCTCCAATCTACTATTTAATAATAAAATCTGCATTCCTCAATGTGTCCCAGTAACTCAGATTTCCTGGCATTAATGCCCTCTATGATGTCATTCTGTTGTTGAGAGGAAGCTAGCTTTGATCTCCTCTGATTTGTCCAATACAGAAGGAGCATGGGAAGACATTTATTAATAACCTGTGCAAATACTGCCTTCTTGGAGTCTCTGTCTTGACCATACTAAAGAAATTGTGGCTATGTGGGGAGGGAAAGGGACTTTTGGAGAGGGCCCTGTACATGAGGTTGGAAACATGTTTCCTGCAGCATGACAGCTGCCAGGTCCCTGAGTTTAGATTTTGAAAGCAACAACAACTTCAGAATGTGTTTTTTGCCCACAACCTAAATTTTAAAAACTAACTAGACCAGTCTCATTGCTTTTAAAGTGAGCATTATGACATTGTGTGAAGTATCACAGTTTGTACCTGTGAGGACAGAATAAAGGGCAGTCCAATGGAATATAAATCAACAAAAATGTCCATATTTGTGCTCTTAATATCATCAACAGAACTTGCCTGCTAGAATTTGATACGAGGGAGGGATTCCTGATCTCACCATATCCTTCAATATACAGCACTGAAAATCTAGCAAGAGAGACTGAAAATCTAAGGAGAGAGAGACCAACAAAGAAAGAGAAAGAAAAACCATGCAAAAGGAAAGGAGAAGGAAGTCTCTGTAGAAGTCTCTTACTCTATAGAAGTCAAAACCAAAAAGGCATTCCCTCCTGCTGAGAAAGCCCACTTATTCTGCTAAGTAGGTGTTAGGACACACAAACCCAGTGAGCTTGGAGTAGCCAAAGCTAACACATACAATGTAATAGTATTTACAATAATGACACAGCAGAGGAAATAAGAAAATAACACTACTTATTGTAAAAAGGAGCTCTTAATTGGTCTAGATATTAAAAAGCCAAAGTCAGATATAGAGGGAAATGCTGCAAGATCAGAGAGAAGGAGCAAGCCACAGCACACCTTACCACCTAAGCGTCTCAACACAGAAGAGAGCGATTTCATGTTTCTCCCTGCTTATATCCTGTTTCCACCGAGCTATGTCACTTCCTGTCTGTCGGCACAGACCTCCAGACCTCTATGATTAGCTAGTGGCAAGCTCCATTCTCTGACCCCCATATAAGCTTTATTTGTGGAAGAAAGATATCACCACAACTTCTGACACACAACCAACACAAAATGCTTAGACGGAGGCTTACCACACCCCCAAAATTAAAGAAATTAAAGTGACAAAAACAATCTGAAAGCTACCCCAGTCTCAGATACTGGAAGTGAAAAAGTGGTTAAAATATCCACTTCATCTATAGTTATTTAGACTCTTCACACAAGTGAAAGAGAATCCTAACATCTGTACACTGCCACAAGTCCAAAGGCCACAGCCATCTAAAGCATGAGGAGCAAAACTGCTCAAGTTGTAATTCAAAGCCAAGTCGATCAAAACAAATGGGACTTACACAAAACCAAGTATGTAGACCAACAGAACTCCGATAAGGACCCCCACATGAAACCATGCGTGTAAATTGCTGATTATCTTTTTTTAATAATGGCAAGATATCACAGTGAGAAAAAAGCAGAGTGTTATATGAAGGGTGTTGTGAATACTGGAAATTTTAATCATTCACAAAAGTAAACTTGACAAGGATTGCAGACCTAATACTAGCATCCTGGAATGAACAGTATGAAGGTTTCTAGACCTTGGCCTTTGCAAGTTTTTCTTGATTAAGATGCCAAAAGCTCAGGTAACAGAGCGAAAAATGAATGTCAGACTAAAGTCCTTAAATTAGATCATTTTTTTTGGTATTTTTACAGCAAATGAATCAATTAACAAATCAAAAAGAAGCCTGTGAGAAGGAAGGAAGTGTGAAAAGTATGTATCTTGTAGTGTTAATGTCCAAACATGTAAGAAACTCTCATAACTCAATGGAAAAATTAATTAATACATGACAAAAATGTAGACATGTGCCAAGACCCAAACTTATAATTCTTAGAAGCATACAAATGGCCAACAGTGTGAGGCCCTTGGCACTAGCATTCATTGGGGAAATAGAAGTCAAAACCACAATGTCACATAATACCAAGTGCAATGGCAAAAAAATTTAAAACAAACAAAAAATACAGAACCCCAAAGAAAATGACTAAAACAGATCATAGGTCCAAAAGAGTGGACACTCTACTGCTCTCAAAGACCCTGTAGCTCCCCATGAACATCAGTAGATGCCTGACAATCAAAATGAAGACATTAAGTCAAATCACAAAAACAAAAAGGCCTGATAGCCTAGCTGACGATAAGCATGAGGTAGGTGAGAGAAAAGAGAAATAGAGGTGTGCCACATTCTTCCACATCCAAGGAAGAGAGGGTAGACTCCCTTTCATTGACAAACTCAGACACAATGAAAGAAAACATTTTCCATCCTTCAGCTGAGGAGAAAATTACTTCCCTGCCACCCCCTCCCAAAAAGATGTACCCAAGGAAGAAACACAGAAAACATAGTGAAAAGAAATTAAAAACTGACAGAAGTCAGGATCAGGGTTTTCTGGTTTCATCTGGATATAAAAGTCCTTAATTGAACAAGCCCTTGTGTTAAATCCAAAAATGTTCCAGAAAAGGAGCCTCCAATTTAGAGCCAGAGTAAAGGTATGCTCAGACAGACAGGGATGGTTCACATATAATGGAAACTATACTGGGAAAATTAGAAAATACTGTGGACTTAATTATGAAACCTCACAATATCTATGATATACCTAAGTTGGCATAAAATACTTGTAGCTTTAAATGCCTTCAGACAAATTCACCATCACGGTTTAGAAGCTAGGGATGGGAAACATAAAATTAGATTAAAAAGTATCAATAAAACCAAACACTATTGAAACAAGCCAATCATATCTTAGTCACATTAAAAGGAAAAGAACTAATAAAACCTAGGGAAAACAACCCCAAAGAAAGGACAAGATGGAGGGAGGCAAGGTAAATTAATATTATGAGCAATTTTATTGAACATATGAAATTGACACAACCTTTGAAAACCAATGTACCATTGCCCACATGACACAAGGCATTAAATCATTGATAACAGTAAATTGGATTGATTTCTTTAAAACTTTCCAGCAAGGAAACTTCTTTAAATAGATTCATTGATGATTTTTTAAAAGAACATTTAATGAAACATAACTATGTCAAAAATAAAGGAGGCGATGGTGTCTATGATGGGTCTATAATTTGAAAAAAAATCCATCAAAGAATTTTAAGAAACAAATACAACCAATAAGCACTTAAAAATTAACAAATTGAATCCACTAAGGCAGAGGGCAGTGTGCTTTTAAAGCTGTGGCACACAGCATGGGTTGATGTAATGGTTGGTAACATAAAAAAAAAGAAAAGAAAAGAAAAGAAAAAGATGAGTAAACTCAGAAAAAAATTTTCCCCTCCTAGAAAGAACCCAGGTTGGAGGTCTCCATACAGTTGGTCCCTCACCGCAGAGCTTGCAGAACCCTGCAGAAAAGGAGGAGGAGGAACTGTGGCAGCCAGATGTAGAAGATACCAGGAGAACGCCATCACAGAACCAAGAAAGCAGGACTCGTGTGGGGCTCACAGAGACTGAATTAGAAAATGCAGGCCCTGCATGGGTCTGTGCTGGACCCTTTGAGTATGTGTTATGGTTGTGGGCTTGGTGTTTTGGGGGGACTCCTGGCAGTAGGAGTTGGGGTGTCTCTAACTCTTTTGCCTGCTCTTGGGACCCCTTTTCTTCTACTGGGTTCGCTCACCTTGCCTTAATGTGAGGGTTTGTGCCTAGCCTTATTCTAGCTTACTATAATGTTTTCAGTCAATGTCCCTAGGAGGCCCTCTATTTTCTTGGGGGAAATGGGTTGGGGGGTAGATCTGCGGCAGATGTGGGGGTGGTGGAAGGAGTGGATCAGGGAAGCTGCAGTCTGGATTATTATTATATGAGAGAAGAATAAACAAACAAATAAGACATTCTCCTCCAATAAAATATTTAGGAATTTTTGAAACATGGAAAACAACAAAAACAAAAAAAAACAAAAAGAGTTGGGGGAGAAAACTGGACAGCAATTGCATACCAGAGCAACAGCACCATCAAAATATGCACTGCACAAGTTCCCTGGATATAGGGCTCCAATGGAAGCAGGATACTTCTCAAAACTATAAAATAAACATGAGTAGATTGGAAAGCAGTGTTAGTAATGTCAGTAATTTTCATAGAATCAAAGATTATCAAGCATTTACTATGTTCTAAGATCTGTGGTGCTCAGGGTTGCACAATTTAAATATAGTCCCCAAAGCTTCAATATTAAGAATATTTCAATATACCAACTGTGAATTTCATAACTGTCTAGGTATATAATATAAGGCTAAGTAAGACCCAACCATCTGATGAAAATGCCACTGCAGTGAGTAGTAACAGTAGTTTTCCGTCTGATTCCATACACCAGATCTGTATATGTGTATAAAACTTTGATTATCTATTTAGCTAGAGATCCCGAAAACCTCAATTTTGTGGCCTTGTCATTCATTTATCATTAACAGTAACTAGATCTTTATTTAAAAATAAAAATATTAACTAGGTGATTAATTAATTAGGTAAAAAACAGGACTAGAGAGAGCTGATAGCAAGTAACAGACATTTGTGAGCCAAAGCTGTTTGATTCATTTTCATACACTTCTAATTTTCCATTATTATTGAGGATTTTATTTGGTTATGATAGGACAGTGGAGCCATTGTGTCCAGATGGACAGCTGCGGCTACTGGCACTCTACATCACATCTTTGGCACTTCTGTCTTGTTCAATAAAACTATGTACATTTTGTCTCACATTAGTCCTAAAGGAGAAAGACTTCGTGCCTTCCATTTTTTTATATTCATGATATCCAAGAAATTAGAAAACAGTACATGCAAAGCAAATGTGTATCTTTCATAAATGATATGTCATCTGAGCTAATCCTTCAATGTTAGTAGATACAGAATATATGCTTACGCCAATAAATATGAAACAACTTGTGGTTTATGGTCTTGTTTCCAATTTAAAAATGCAATCAATAAGTCCTTAGGGTCCCCTGGGAAAGAAATTCTGTTTTCCTTCGACCAGATGTCAATGGAATGTATTACAACAGTCAGTTTTAACTTGGAGAACATCTAGAAAGAAAAGATAAAGGTATTTAATATGAATTTGAGCATCCCTTGGAACACTTAAAAACATATTTAACATGGTACTTTTGGTTGTATAGTGTCTTCAAGAGCTCAGCAAAGTATGACAGGCATTGATTCATATCTCTATTTTCCCACATTCTATAAACAAGCTTGCTTTTGAAAACTCACGGTGTTAACAAGGCTGATGATCTGAATAACTTTCTGTATCACAATTTTAGTGTCAGAGCCCATGTAATCAAACTGGAAAAAAAAAAGCAATTTTGAAAATTAATGGGTATGATTAGACAAGCACATGCTTCTAAACATACAAATAACACTGTACTGTGGATAAAACTACATTCTGTTTGAAATCGATAAACTCAATAATGATAAGTAAATAATTACTTTAAAATATCAAGTAACATGAATTTTAGCATTGTTTAATACATTGTAGACCAGGAGCAAGATGGCACCATGATGGCTCCAGCCATATTGTTTCCATAGGGGGAACAGTTGTGCACACCAGTCCACATTCATAGTAGGTGAGGAAGTCAGGAAAAACACCACAGAGGCTGGTAGCAGTAGAGCCATAAAAAATAAAGTGGTGGAGATACTCATAGGTTGCCGGAATGCATGTCTATAAAAGACAGGAAACAAGAGAGGAGCCATGCATGACGAAACCATAAAAGAGGCCTGGCAGGGTGGAGGGGTGGTGGTGATAATAACCCTCACGTGATATGAAAGTCCAAGGGAGGAATACGAGGCACAGGAAGATTTAAGTGAGTAGAGGAATGGTAGGAGAGGCAACCCAAACCAAGGATGCTTTTAAGGGCATACAGAAAGCTACTAGTTCATAAACTAACTCAACATTGTAATTCCAGAAAAGCATGAACAGAGGTAACCTGCTAATGCAGGAAATGTCCCCCACCCCAGAAAAAAATTAGGTTTTGAAACAAACTAACAAACAAAATCCAGTGTCAAATGCCATATATCTCTGATGCCAAGGGCTCCCAAAACAGTACAGATGATTGCCATTTTCCCTGGTTGCCCATAAGAAATAAGTACTAAAACTCTACTGCTGAGAAGACCACAAACTTTGGATACAGGACACAGAAATCAAGCTGAAACTGAACTGGAAGCTCACTCTCTGCTAGCTAGCCCTCACAGTGCCAGAAGGAATTGTGTAGGCTCCTGCGAGAGAAGTCTTCAACAGTCTTAGCCAGCTGTGGGCTCTGAGTGCTACAATATTGGCCTGTCAGGCAAGACATGCCCACTGGTGCAATGAAGAAGAAAAGGAGGAGGAGGAGGAGGAGAAGAAGGAGGAGGAGGAGGAGGAGGAGGGGTGGGGAATTAGCAGAAGTGGAAGGAGGATGAGACAGGGTGATGGAGGCATATATGGTCATAACACACTGTATACATCTAGGAGATTGTCAAAATGATTGATTGACACATAAAAAGAATGGCACACACCAGATGTTTATCCACGACAATATCCATCTCAATGTATCGTGGGGGTAACTGGACAAATTGAGTTTTCTGAAAAACACACAACGTGAATCCTGAGAAATGTTTTTAAATGTTATCTTCTACTAAAATTATATTTATAAATAAGATGAAAGATATCTGCTACAAACTATGTAATAAGGCTGTTTTCAAACACACAACTTCCCTGCCATGCAGAGGATCTCCCAGCCTAGAAGTGCTGTGGTTAGTGAGAACTTTCAGCTAGACATATCAAGCTGGATGAGAACTCAGGAAATTTTTATTTTGTAATATTTGAAATAAAATTCTAAGTTTATAACCAAGGCCTTGTTTTTCTTCACCCTTCTGATAATTTCAAACCATCTATGTAGGACAATGTTTTTGCTAACAAGTGTGAGGAAGATGATTTGCTAACCATAACTTCAGAAAAATATCACCTAAGTTTGCAGTCAGAGGCATGCACTAGAGCCAGGCATGCTACCATGGCAGTTTATGGGTCCTTGCTAATGGAAAGGTTATTACTCTATTTTACCTTAGGTAAGCCATTAAAATTATCTACTTTTGGACTGTCATAAAAATAGTTAATACTTTCATCTAAATACCTGGAATGATTGGGGGAACATGCTGTGTTAATTATCTAAAAGCACAGGCATTAAAACTATCTAGACACTTTCAGTTCTATCTTCCAATCTTCTTGTTTCTGAGGTTAATTGCCTAAGTTTTTACTGAACTTGTGTCTAATTTCAACTGGGATTCCTCTAGCTATTAAAAGATGACATGGGGCCTTCATTTAAAAAATAAAACCACAGTAATGGGTACTCCAAAAGCATTTTCACTTCATAAAATTATGCCAAAAGAGTTGAAAGAGTAAACACCTACCTTCGCATTGCTTCTGGACTCTAACTGTGACTCGTTATACCAATTGTAACTCTCATCTTGCAAGACAGGGATCTCAATGTTCTCATTTGTGCTCTCATAGACCACATGCACAAACCCTGGCACAGCTTCCACAGGCTCAATTCCATAGGAGATATTTTGGAATTGTATTGTTCCCCTGAATGTTAGAACAATCAGAGAAAAGTCTGGAATGATTCAACCAAATCTGTAATATTGTAACGGCAAAGTTTGGCTGGGATTTTTTTTTAAGTCCAAAGTCATCTTTGTCTCCTTTACCTGTATTTTCTTCAAGTTTATACCAGAACTAGATCACTGTGCTACAGGACACATGTGCCTGCCTATCACAGACATGTAAGAGATCAGGTACAGACATGGATGTGTGCTCCAAAACTACCAGTATTCATCTCTGGTGCAGTGTGTATCAGCTTTCTGTACTAGTCGGTAGAAGTGCTCTTCCTTAGTCTTGGGTTCTGTGCTGTCATTTTTGTTAACCTGACACAAATTTAGGCATGTCTTTTTAGAAAGGGAATCCTAATTGAGAAAATGCCTCCATCAGATTGGCCTGAAGACATGTCTGTGGGGTGTTTTCTTGATTCCTAATTGATGTGGGAGGGTCTAAAGCCCATTCATTATGAGCGGTTCTATCGCTGGGCAGTTGGTCCTGGGTCGTATAAGACAGCATATTGAACTGAGCAAGCCATGGGGAACAACCTTCCTACATGGTCTCTATATTAATTACTGTCTCTGAGTTCCTGTCCTGACTTCTCTGGAGGATGGACTTGTAAACTATAAGATGAAATAAACCATTTCCTTCCCAAGTCACTTTGGTCACAGTGTTATATCACAGCAATGGAAACCCTAACCAAGATAGGTCCCTCATCTATGACACACCTGACTTTTCTCAGATACCTTGGTCCTAAATTATTAGTGTAGATGAACTGATGGAAATACATGCCTAAAAATGGCCAATAAGCCAAAGTCTCTATTATCCTCAAATATTCTCTTTTATTCTAGGAAATCAAAAGCAGCATTGGTTGAAACTAGAGAAGTATGAAAATATTGATTGATGCTCCCCGAATTCAAAACAGATCACAGCCTCAACCACTAGGCCCCTCACCAGGAATAGACTCACAGTCCCATTTTCTTAGCAATTTGGGTTCATTTTTCAGAGACTTTAAAAATAAGGGTGAATATAGAATGAGAAATTCATAAGACAGCAAGATACAATGCTAAGTCCCTCCCCAGTTGTTTCCTCAACAGTTTGCCACAAACTGGAGTTACCTGGGAAGAGAAGCTTCAATTGACAAAATGCCTCCATCAGACTGCCTACTGGCAAATCTGTGGGGGTATTTTCTTGATTAATGGTTGAAGTGAAGGGGTCCAGGCTACAGTGGATGCTGCTATCCCTGGGCAGCAGGTCCTGAGTTGCATAATAAAGCAAACTGATCAAGTCATGGCAAACAAGTCATGTTGCTCCATAGCCTCTGCTTCAGTTCCTGCCTCCAAGTATCTGCCCCAAATTTCTTTAGGGATGGACTGTTCCCTAGAGGAATCAGATAAAAAATACCCTTTCCTCCCTAGGTTGCTTTTTGTCATGGTCCTCACAGCAATAGCAATCTAACTACCATAGTATTTTTAAATAATATACAACCTGAGTCCTGGGCAAATGCTGAGTGTCACCAGAGAGTTTGGAAAACCTGCAACATATCCATTGTAAGTGCAACTTCCCTGAAAAAAAAAAAACATGTACATAGGAAAGCAGGTGACTAACTCATTTTTCAATACACACCCAAGACATGTCAGCCACGTTTATTATTCACCTACCTTAATACTTTGGTATGATAGTCAATTACACAATAAATTAGCATCAAGCAGAAAATGGCACCTGAGTATGTTATACAATTCAAATGAATGTATAAAATAATGCTGAAATAATTAGAGACTTTCATTTTTAAAAAGAAAACCCAAATAACAAACCAATATGGAAGAAACCTTAAGGCTTACCAGAGGAGACAAAGGTTGAGAATGTTGGACACCATTTTTGTCGTATGTGTAAACCACCGCAGCTGGAGCTATAAGTGATCTATGTAAAAATCCCAAAAACATCTTCCAATGAGACAAATGTGAGACAGGCAGTCTCTATATGCAAATTAACTGAATACCTGTTGGCTTGCTGTACTCTATTGTCTAGTTTCCTGTCACTGATAGTAGCGTTTTGAATAGAGAAAACACTAACATGCAGGTTAATGGGCAACTCAAAAGAGAAATAATATAGGCTCTGAAGTCCTTTCAAATCTTTGCCATTCATTGACACCAGATTTTATATTTGAATCCCTAAATTAGAATGTGGGATTAACACCAATTCTCTTGGTCTCACCACAAATTTATGTTCAGTCAGCTTGGTAAATCCAAGTCCTTGTTGCTACTGACTTCCTCCTCCTTCCTTGCCCCCTCCATCCTCTTCTTCCTCCCCAGTCCCCTTCCTCTCCTCCTCCTGCTCCTCTTCCTTCTTGATACACCTATGCAGACACAACAACTGAACCCAAATTTATTGCAATCCTCCTGTCTCAGTCTCCTGAGTGCTAGGTCTACAGTTCTTAATAACAGGGGTCAGAAATTTCTTCCATAATCTCCCACCCCACTAAATATTAAAGAACTTGACACCATCCCTACCAACCATGACACATATCCTCTATGCCACCCACTCTCACACCCTCTGAGCTTGCCTTACTCCTTTCTTTAATGTGGGTTACTTCTTCATTTCAATCAAAGCCCTTTGACCTGTGCCATGGATTCCATCCTGTGCATGTACTGAGCTATGAACCATTCCTCTCCTGTAATTTCTCTACCATGATTCCATAGGCTTTTTACCCCTGCGCTATTAGAAAAGTTGTTTACAAGTGACTACCAGCCTAAAGGATTCTCACTTGATGTCATGCTCCAATGCTGCTCTGTCCTCTTTTAATTGACAACAGATTTTTTAAATTAGAAGTGTGGTCTATACACACATCTTTTGCTTTCTTGGTTATTAACCACCCTAAAGTTTTCTGTGGGGAATGGCTAAAATCATTTTTTCAAATCCAAAAGGCACATGATTGACCATAAATGTACTGATTACCCTCAAACAGTGACCACTCCTTCCAATACCTGTATTTATTACACTTCCTCTTGTCCTGCCTTCATGTTCCTTCAGCTTCATCTTCCATGTTAGCTACACACTTTTCCACCTAGCCCCAAAATATTGATCTTTCCCAAGGTTTATAAACATTTTCTGCATATGTATTCACCAATAATAATTAATAACACATTACTGTTTACTATTAAGTCTATACACTTACTGAACGTCCTGAGAGATTCAGTCTTATATGAATCTTATATATACCTCTCCAGCAGAAAATACCGACTTGGACATAAGTCCTCAGTCTTCCTATGAGAACCTCCATGATTTATAATCATCACTTAAATACACAATAACCTACCCATTTTCTTGAGCAACAGCTAAATTATCTGAGGTCCCTCCTGTCTCTTGATTGTTCTACTTATTCTGTCTTGAGGTCTATGAAATCTGTCTTCCTCGTGCTATAACTGATTGTCCATCCTCATCAACGCTCACACGGAGCACAATGCATGCACCATGTCCTTTTGCATTGCCCTTACATACCTTTAATCTCTATCCTTTATCAAGTCACAACTTAACCTCTATTTCAAAAAGCTTTCACTAACTTGCTAAGGACATAACTTATGCATTTATCACCATATTTTAATAAAATTCTGTTTCTTAGCTTTAGTGCCTTGGCATATATCTTCATGTGCTATAAATGCCCTGTGTATCTTGCTTTATTTTTCTTTTTATGTCTAGGACCTTGTCTAATGGCCAACATTCAATAGACATTAATACATTTGAACTGTAATGATAATAATAACTCTTATAAAAGTAAAAAAATTTAAATTTGGAATAACAAAATAATTACTCACTGTTTTATAAGATGGACAAAATATGGGTTTCCAGCTATCGTAATAAGATATACAATCTGTAGCAAAAATAGTTTTTAAAATGTCAGTCATATGATAACTTACGTGTTTATGCCACTTAATGTTTTAAAGGACTAGCAAAACTAGTAAAAATATGCAAGGGTCTTTGGCTTCCCTTCCCATGTAGGTTTCTGAGCCTTCAAGATGCTGAACTGAGAAGGTGGTGAAGCTTAGCACCCGTGATGATCCTCCCTAACATTCCTAGGGCAGAAACTTGCCTGGTGTTAACTGGTATCTTCTGGTTTAGACAGATACTCCCAGTCTCCCAAGACAACCTACTTCACCTTGCCCTCCATATCACAGCATCACCCTCATTCCAACCCATTCTAGTTGCTTGCCACCTTTTTGGCACCTGTGAGGCCCCATCCCGGAAGTTCCTATCCCACAATGCTCTGCTGCAGTTGAGCTTTTCTGGGCTCCACCAGCCCCGCCTCTGTCTAACCAGTTTCAGTCATGACGTGCTAAACTTCGCACCAGTGACATATAAAGATGGTGTTGCTATTACATGATTTTCAGGGTCTTTTTCCACATCCGGTGATGAAATCTTTTCAGGAACTGTTGTCTGCAGGAGGGTTTTCTGAGGATCTAAAAATGAAAATAAGCAATACCATTTTGAGATCCATTTTTAAGTCTAATTTAGCATCTGTTTCTCTACATTAGCAGTTGTTTGGGTGGTTTATACATCTTTTCCTTTCCCTTTTCCACTGTCTATTAAAATGTTGCTAATCCATCATCCCTGCCCCCCTCTTCCCCTTCCTCTCCCCTGCTCTCCTCTTTCTCACTTCCCACTGTCCTCCCTCCTCTGAATTCACAGCTAAACTACCTAAACACTGGTCTACAGTGATGTGAAAAGCTTAGAAACATAGACTCAATAAGAGAGTACCATCCTGGAAAAAAGGTTATTAAGAAAGCGAAAAATCAGTTTTCTCCAATGGAATGGCATCGGATCTATCAACAACACTCCAGGGCAGCCCATGTGCCCAGTTAGCCAGCACAAAACAGACACCGTGTATTTTTTGTTTTAATTTGGTACTTTTTATCTTATTGGACTTTTTGTTTTGATTTTTATTGGGGGGGCAGTTGAGTGAGACAAAGAGAAAGAATATAAAGTTGGGTAGGGTAAGGAGATAAGAGAGGATCTGGGGGAGGGGAAAGAATATGATCAAAATATGATTTATGAAAAATATTAACTAAAATTAAAAAAACAAAAGAAAGGAAGAACTTATTCAAGGAGGACAACAGTTGCCAGGAAAAAAAAATTGGTAGGTTTTTTGCGTTGATTAGTTGATTCTTGACTACCACTTATATACTAATTGGGAAGAGGAAATACGATTCATCCACATTACAATTAAGAAAACCCATCCCAAGCCAGGGAATGCTTTGCAACCAAGGAGGAGCACGTAAGCAAAGCCAGTGCAGTGTGTGAGCCTGGTGCTAGGTGAAGTCCACCCCGACCCTCGATCACCCTGACCCCTCAGAAGCCGAGATTCTGGATCTCTAGACTCACTCTGGCCGGCTTGCAGCCCACTAAGACCCGTAAACAGCACTAGGAGGAGGAACATGGCTCCCTCGGTGGTCCTGGAGCCAAGCTGAGGAGCATCAGGCCCGACGGGAGGACGTTGTGGCCAGTAATGGCAGCTCGCGCCCCGAACCCACAGGGCTGTCTCCAAGGAAACCAGTGAGGAAAGGGCAGGAGAATTAATTGGTTGCACACTTCCAGATAGGCTGCCTGTACCAGCCATCCTTAGAACTGTGAAAGGAAGGCTCCTGCCTACGGTTTACTCTTCAGGCTAGGGGAGCTGGTTTTCTTTGTATCGTTTATCATTCTCTTAAATTTCCACTCAACTGAGGAAAAGATACACGAAAATGTTCAGCTGACTGAGGGCAGCCATGTGTCCTCCAATAATATTCTAGCACGTTGTCCCAACAACTGAGCAAAATAAAATGTTTGCAAACATGTTTTGTTTTGTTTTTTATTTTTTGATGCTGCATGCACGACACTCCCTAAGATGCTTCTTGGCCAAACACAGACTTTCAAAACATTCTCTTCAGGATCTTATTGTCACACTCCTGGTCTCGTCCTTTAATTAGTCTTTTAAAGGGATGGGTATATAAGCTGAAGTAACTACAAAAGCCAGGAAAATAGAATGCAAGTGTGGGAGGAGCCCTGGAGAGGGGCATGGTGGGACACAGATGCTTTGAAGAAAAGAAATACAAAAAAGTGGGGAGGAAGCAAGAAATTTAACTGAGGAAGGGAGAAAGATAAAAACACAAAGAATTCTTTTTTAAGCTACAGGAAACATTTTATAAGCTTACTTAAAATACAATATACAATGTATGTATATTTGCATATGTGTTTTTATTGGAGTTATGCCACACTGGATGATAATGCTCTCCCCCAAGAGCGACAGACAAGCTACCAAAAACCTCCTTTGCAGTTTTTGGTCAAGGGAGTCAAGACCCTTGGTTGCTTCACAGAACTTGAGGGCAGGACCATATTGCTGAAGACACCACACTTTGAACACAAGACTTTGTAAAATCAAAGTAGAACCCACCTGGAAGCCTCCTCCCTGAGCCAGGCTGTCATAGTATCTGAAGGGGCTTTGCAAGCTGCCAACAGAGAAAAACAACAACAATGGCCAGCATGGCAAGGCAGCACCCAAGTGCAAGAATGGCATTTTATCCTGGGGTAACTGACAGCTAGCTAATAAGATGACTTAAGGCCCACTCAACTGGGGGGGGGATTCAAGTTTGGTAAATTTGGTATAAACCTAGCCAAGTAACCATGGCTGAAAAGGTCATAGACTCTAGAAGAATCTACTGTTTCAATTTTCCTAAACCAATATAATTTTGGCATCTAGACACTTGCCTTGATGCTTGATGTCCACAGGTAAGCATAGCTCCAACCCCTCGTCAAAGAAACTTCCTGTTTTGCAGCATATGGAGACTCTTACAGAGATCCGCAATGGGTCAAAGTTTCCAGCCCAGGGGATAACTGACAGACCCTGTGACCCTGTAATGCTGTAACCCTGCAACCCTGTGCCCTGTCTTATCTTACTCAAATGTATCTTACTTAAAACATATAGTTACTGCTTTACTCTGCATTTGCATGACCTTAAGTAACCATGGAAACCTGAACTTTGTGGCCTTCAACCTTATGGTCTTCCCCTTTAAAAGCTTCTCTTTATGGCTAGTTGGCATCTCATTTCCCCGCCATGGAGTGAGATCCAAGCTGGCCAGCTTGAACAAGAAAAAGAAACCTTTGCTTTTGCATCAGAGGTGTCGGCTCCTTGAGTTGGTCTCTGGGGCTCCTAGAACCTGATACAACACTAAACACATGCAAGTGCAAGCAACACTAAATGGACCTGTAGTTTACATGCATGTGCATGTGCATGTTTGTGTGTAAGTGTTTAATAATATTAAAGAGGAGGTTATGAATCCAAGAGGGAGTAGGGGAGTCAGAGGGACAAAAATGTAAGTGGCATAAGTACAGAACTCATATTAAGAAATTCTCAAAAAAAAATAAGTTATATACTGGAAGCAAAATAAGTGATTTCATAGTGTCCACAGGCACCCATCTCTTTGTAGGCCCTAGCCCAAATCATAAGTACAATAAAAATCCAGCCATACCCCACATTAACTATAAATTTGTTGCAAAAGATAAAATATAAGTTTGCTTTGCAACCACTCCTTCATGCACTCCAGCTATGGCGGACCAATGCCTTCTGAAACCATGGCCCAAGACAAACCTTTCTCCTTAGTTGTTTCTGTTGGGTATTATCACATCAGAGTTGTATGTACAACTAACAGGCTCCCTGATACATCACACACACACACTGAAATCAAGGGATGGACTGAAGAAAATGGACATCAACAACATCATACTGCTTTTGGATGGGCCCAAGCCCATATATCCATAAAGAAAGTGAAAACATCTCACACTCACAGATTGCAGTATTTACTGTTGTTAAAATGACAGTAATTAAGGTTCTCTGGCTGTGTAGAGAAACTTACACAAACGAGATAAAATGTGCTATTTGTCTTGCTGTGTCAAGGTTATCCTCATTCAGAATGATTGTTTCTGCCTCCATCCATTGACCTTCAAATTCCATAATTCCATGTTTAATAGCTAAATAATAATTTGGTGGTAGATATACCACATTTTCATTATCCTTTCATTGGTTGCTGGACATCTAGGCTGTTTCCATCTCCTGGATGTTATGACTAGAGCAGAAACAAACATGGATAATCAAGTATTTCTGTGCTAAGCTATAAAGTACTTTGGGTATAGCTGTATCATATGGTAAATGTATATTTTACCTCCATAATAATTTCCACGAGGCTGTGCCAGTTTGCATGCCCACCTGCATCAAATACATGTCCCCTTTCCCCACACCCAGATAATCCTTTTTTACCATTTGTTTTTGAATTTTAGCCATTCTGACTGGGGTAAGAAGAAATCTCAAAGCAGTTTTGAGTTTTGCTGATGATTGAGGATGTTGAACATTTTCTTAAATGTTCCTTAACCACATTTTATCTTTTAAGAACTGTTTAGTTCCATCACAAACCTGAATTTTTAACTGCGTTGTTCATTTCTCTGGTGTTTCCGTCAATGATGCACTAGCAATAAAAATATAGCAGCTTCTTCCTGGATAGTTTTGACCAAGAGAGAGCCTAAATCTGAGTGCTCTTCTCCCTGTGTCTTCCATCTGTCCCTAAAAAGGGGGACGCTTATCACAACACTCCAAGGAGGTGTTAGACTTACTAGATGCAGCCCTGCTTCTCCAGGGGGTTGCAGTCACTGCAAATGGTCATCTACGACTGTCTCAATGCCTACACTGGGAGAATGTTCAAATCCCTCTACTAAATATGCCACCTGGAAAGGGAACACTCTGTTTAACTAGTTCAAAGAATGTTTGTGGGGAGAGCAATCTCAGAAGCTGTTATTTGGATAGCTCAGGGATTTGAAGTCTGTCAAATGGCTAACCCCCCATGGCTGTCACCCATCTCCATGCAGCACGGTGGAGACTGAAAGTGTCTAGGAGAAGACTGACCAATTACTGTTATCCACTCACTGGGGAAACTTAAAACCCACTAGTAACTAATGTATCTTCATGGAATGGTGGGAGCACAGAAAATGATAAACATCCCTTCTAATATAATTCCAAATTCCCTGAAGAAAGTTGTCATTAGCTTTGGTGTGGCTAAAGAGCACCCCGCGAACATTGGGCCTGACTCTTTCTGAGCCTGTCCCTTAGAGATTACCCAGCTGGTATACCACATCTAGCCAGGTTCCAGCAAGTTCAGAGGTCAGGAAGGCAGTCCCTGAAGGGAGAGGTGGGTCCTCCCCCATTCTGTCCTGGAGATCTGGTCCTGGTCAAAGTCCTCATGGAGACTCCCTTCTGAGCCTCAATTGGGTGGAGTCCTATTCTGCCTTCTATCCATCCCTAGAGTCATGTTGGTAGCTAGCAAGGATTCATGACTAAAATTCTTCTGCAGGACCACCGTAGACCTACAGAAAAAGGGAATCTTTTTTAGGGGGACTACTCTTTCACCTTGGCCCTAGGTCCATTAAGAGCATTTCTTTCCATCTTACTCTAGTGGAACTCTGGATTAGAAATAAAAAATATCAAATCCCTGCCTGCTTACGATCAATATAATGACTGCTTCTGGCCAGGAATTGTTGGTAGAGTGTAAGATCCACTCAGGCAGAAATATCCACATATAGGGTTAATGAATCTGAGGGATATGTAGCATCCATTGTAACATAGGGTAATGTCCTGTGCCTGTAGGATCCCCATGGAGTTCTATCATAGACAAACCCAGCTGCCAGGTGTGACCTGGCCCACCTACCTCCCCAAAGTCGATCTTACTTAGCAAGCTGGATTGAGCAAGACCTAGTAGACCTGAAAGGCCACCTCAGACTAGTCTTACCTTGAGAGCTGAATACCTCTGTGAGCCTCGCTGGCACATCTAGACAGTTGCTTACCTCAGAAAAGTATCCACTATGCTTACCTTCCTGTGGGATATTTCCAGGTTGTGGATCCACTGTTTTTAACTCTACTTAGGCCAGTTTTCCAATATACCCAGTCTCTACGGTGGCTATCTTCATACTGGCCCATAGAAAACAGTGGACCAAGGGTCTCCCTAAGTTGTAGTGGCTTCTTGTAGTAGACAGGACTTGCTAGGGTGAACTGGTACAGGACTAGGGACTTTAAGACAACTAAGATGCAATATATCAGGAGAAACACTCATTAAAAAGGCCTCCCTCCCTGTTATAAGACATATTGCTGCAAATTGTTTTAGAAAGAGGAAAAAGGCTGGAATAGGTAGTAATGAAAAAAGTCCAGGGTTAGAGGAAATGGTAAGGAATAAAGAATGCATTTTTCAGAAATATGCCTCCATCTCTACTTGAGATTTTTGTACTCAGCCCCACTGAGATCTACTAAGTATCTCAACTCAAATGGGGTCTGAGCTGTCCATGGGCCCATGGCCTAACCTCCCAGATGTGGAAACAAAGTCTAACCATACATTTGTCACATATGGTCCTCCTCCTCTCTGA